ATTCTTTGCCATAGCACACAAGAACCTAGATACTTCGGTAGGTGCCCCAGGACTCAGATCTGTAAACAAGTTAGCCAGCTATACAGACTCGCCAGCTGAACAAAACCAGGGAGTCCCTTAGATAACGGTATGAATCAAAGAGCATACAGTTCTACCTTTAATACTTGTGTTCCACAGAAAAAGGCAAGCTAATCAGCCTGTTAAACAGCCTTATGGTAGTGAAAGTGTCTGACAGCAAGAAAGGAAAGAATTTCTTCAAACTTAGAGGACTCTGTATATATTAGCAAGCTTTATTTGTAGCATTAATAAATATATACATTTTAGTGGTGTCATATGTAAAGTTTAGAACTAGCAGAGAATACAAATTTGTTGGCTTTAAGTTATTCAGTGTAGTTCTTAGATGACCTTAGAACTCTTTAAAGTGGTCCATGCACACACCCATGGAAGAAAATACAGGGTTATCAAGTTGGCCATCGTCTAAATAGCAAAAGCAAAGTTTACAGTAGCTGAACTAGTTTCTGTTCAGCAGGATGGATTTGTGCACGCATGGGTAGAGGGTTTAAATGTCTAACATTCTAACTATTGCCACATTCATTACAATCACAAGATTAAAATAGAATGAAACACATTTGTCACTGAATTTAGTTCAGATAGTACATATTTTTTTATTTGTATTTATGTATCCTAGATAAGCTCAATTATTTGGATATAATTATCAACCAAATTTTACAGCAATCTAAAACAACTTTTCACATGATCAGAAGACTATATTTGCTATAAAAACCATATGATCACTTTCAGTTTCAGGAAATCCTGCACCCAGTACTAAGATGATCAAGAAATTCTTGAATTAAAACTAGTGTGATTATTTAATCTCTGCAGCTCTGTGATCAGCCTTCTTTCTAGAGCTATGAACTAGCTTTAGATTGACTAAACAGAAGTATTTTCTAATTGTTTCTAATTTATCTTAGTATTTTTCTTTTGTTTGTTAGTGTTTCAAGGCTGGGTCTTGCTATGTAGTCCAACCTGGCCTCAAACTTGCAATCTTACTGCCTCAGCTGATTCATCTTTAAAGCATACAAAGCTTCCTAGTTAAAATGTCTGATAAATGATTAAGGGATCTAGGAGTTAACAGAAATTAATAACTAGTTTAATCACTAAGAATAGAGTAATAGTGAATCTAAAATAAAAATTAAGAACACAAACAACTAAAAAGAAAAGGAATGAACATTCACTGGGGCTTTATGACTTATGAGCTTATAATACTTAAACAGTTTAAGTCTGTGGAATTACTTGGATTTATTGCTAACCTGCATTTTTTTACACTTGGTAAAAATTTTATATAAAATTAATTTCTCTTGTGGCATAAATTAATCTAAAACATTTCTATTAAAACATTCCTTGATCAGCTAGTTTTTAAACAATCTGTTTTCCTTTGTTTTTAAAGCCAGTTGCTACTTGCATTCTCTGTTGGATGATTACTCAGTACCCTGGTTAGGTAAGACTGGTGTTTTTTTTTTTTTTATTGTTTTTATTTTACGTGTGTAAGTACATTGCCTGCAAGTACACCTGTGTCATGCAATGTTCACAGAGTTCAGAAGGGGGTGTCAGATTCCCTGGAACTGGAGTTTTGGACAGTTCTTAACTGCCATGTAGGTGCTGGGAATCAAACCCAGGTCCTATGCAAGAGCAGTCAGTGCTCTTAACCACAGAGCCATCTCTCCAGCCCCAAGAATGATGTTTTAATAAATTTCTACCCATGGTATAAAAACAATTAAATTAGAAGGCAGTGCTTTAGTTACAGAAGACAAAGTGCAACACATGTGCTTTCCTAGCGCTTGCATCAGTAATTTCAGGGGGACATAAACAGAACAACCATAAAGCTTCAAATATGTTTATTACCTACAAATATAAATGGATATATACACACTGCACCTATAGCTATATGCATTCTAGGGTACTATTTAAAACACACTCCTTTGCTCCCTCAGATCAGGACAAAGGTTATGTGTTGTATTTAAGTTCTAGAAATGAAAATGCAGCATGAATGAATTCCTTGAACTGGTATTTCTGAAGGAAGGTTTATAGTCTTTAAATATATGTTGGCCCATTACCCAGTTTTTGCAGGATCAGAGTGAAATGAGAAACAAGGAAAGCTAATTTTATCCAATATTTAATTCACAAACTGTTGTCCTTCCATTACATCTTCTCCCTTTTGGATATTAAAACAGTCTCCCTTGGCTGGGGAGGTAGCTCAGTGGTAGAGCACTTGCCTAGTATGTGTGAGAGCCTGGAGTCATCCACAGCACCACTAAACATAAATAAAGCAAGGAATATATTAGAAAAACTCAGCAAATGAGAGAGATGGCATACTGGTATACGATTTCAAGTTAGGAAATGTAAGGGTAGTATAACTCAGGAGTCTCCTGGACGTCTGCTTCTCATCTTCTCTACAAGTCCCCTGTCTTGTCTTCTCTCCAGCTGCTCCTGCATAGCTTTCTATCCTATTCAGTATCAAGTTCTGCCTTTCCATCTGTTTTGTTTTAATTAACTGGATTTCTAAGTACTGTTCAATGAACCCTCTGTGATAATTAATCTTCATTGTCAATGTGACTCGATTTAGAATCACCTAGGAAACATGGCTCTGGGCATGTCTGTGAGGTTGTTTTCAGAAAGTTAACTGGGACTAGAGAGATGGCTCAGTAGCTAGGAGCACTCGTTGCTCTTGCAGAGGACCCAAGTTCAGTTCACAGCACCCACCTGGCAGCTAACAACCACCCATAACTCCAGTTCTAGGAGATCCGACACCCTCTTCTGATCTCCTCCGGCATAGCACAAAACAGGTGCACTTACATACATGCAATCAAAATACTCATAGGCACAAAATAAAAATAAACAAAAAAGGGTGTTTGTTTGTTTGTTTGTTTGTTTGTTTTTTTAAAGAAAGGTTTAATGGAGGAAGGAAGATACATCCTGAATAG